ACCCCATTACGACAAACCATTTGCTTCAGCACGGAGATGCCTAAGAGACGTTGCTAACTTGAAAAGGGGCCACAAAACCCCATTTTTCCGACAACATTATTGCTTCAGCACGGAAGATGCTAAGAGACGTGCTAACTTGAAAATGTGCACAGAACCCCATTCCGACACACATTTTTGCTTCAGCACGGAAGATGCTAAGAGACGTGCTAACTTGAAAAAATGTGCACAGAACCCCATTCCGACACACATTTTTGCTTCAGCACGGAAGATGCTAAGAGACGTGCTAACTTGAAAATGTGCACAGAACCCCATTCCCACACACATTTTTGTTTCAGCACGGAAGATGCTAAGAGACGTGCTAACTTGAAAATGTGCACAGAACCCCATTCCGACACACATTTTTGCTTAAGCACGGAAGATGCTAAGAGACGTGCTAACTTGAAAATGTGGACAGAACCCCATTCCGACACACAATTTTTTTTTGTTGCTATTCAGCACGGAAGATGCTAAGAGACGTGCTAACTTGAAAATGGCACAGAACCCCATTCCGACACACATTTTTGCTTAAGCACGGAAGATGCTAAGAGACGTGCTAACCTTGAAAATGTGCACAGAACCCCATTCCGACACACATTTTTGCTTCAGCACGGAAGATGCTAAGAGACGTGCTAACTTGAAAATGTGCACAGAACCCCATTCCGACACACATTTCTGCTTCAGCACGGAAGATGCTAAGAGACGTGCTAACTTGTAAATGTGCACAGAACCCCATTCCGACACACATTTTTGCTTCAGCACGGAAGATGCTAAGAGACGTGCTAACTTGAAAGTGTGCACAGAACCCCATTCCGACACACATTTTTGCTTAAGCACGAAGATGCCAAGAGACGTGCTAACTTGAAAATGTGCACAGAACCCCATTCCGACACACATTTTTGCTTCAGCACGGAAGATGCTAAGAGACGTGCTAACTTGAAAACGTGCACAGAACCCCATTCCGACACACATTTTTGCTTAAGCACGGAAAGATGCTAAGAGCCGTGCTAACTTGAAAATGTGCACAAAACCCATTCCGACACACATTTTTGCTTCAGCACGGAAGATGCTAAGAGACGTGCTAACTTGAAAATGTGCACAGAACCCCATTCCGACACACATTTTTGCTTAGCACGGAAGATGCTAAGAGACGTGCTAACTTGAAAATGTGCACAGAACCCCATTCCGACACACATTTTTGCTTCAGCACGGAAGATGCTAAGAGACGTGCTAACTTGAAAATGTGCACAGAACCCCATTCCGACACACATTTTGGCTTCAGCACGGAAGATGCTAAGAGACGTGCTAACTTGAAAATGTGCACAAAACCCCATTCCGACCCACATTTTTTCTTCAGCACTAAGATGTTGCCTAAGAACTCCGTGCTAACTTGAACAGTGCACAGAACCCCATTCCCTGACACAATTTTTTGCTGTCAGCCGGAAAGATGCTAAGAGACGTGTTACGTTGAAAATGTGCACAGAACCCCATTCCGACACACATTTTTGCTTCAGCACGGAAGATGCTAAGAGACGTGCTAACTTGAAAATGTGCACAGAACCCCATTCCGACACCATTTTTGCTTCAGCACGGAAGATGCTAAGAGACGTGCTAACTTGAAAATGTGCACAGAACCCCATTCCGACACACATTTTTGCTTAAGCACGGAAGATGCTAAGAGACGTGCTAACTTGAAAATGGCACAGAACCCCATTCCGACACACATTTTGCTTCAGCACGGAAGATGCTAAGAGACGTGCTAACTTGAAAATGTGCACAGAACCCCATTCCGACACACACATTTTTGCTTCAGCACGGAAGATGCTAAGAGACGTGCTAACTTGAAAATGTGAACAGAACCCCATTCCGACACACATTTTTGCTTCAGCACGGAAGATGCTAAGAGACGTGCTAACTTGAAAATGTGCACAAAACCCCATTCCGACACACATTTTTGCTTCAGCACGGAAGATGCTAAGAGACGTGCTAACTTGAAAATGTGCACAGAACCCCATTCCGACACACATTTTTGCTTCAGCACGGAAGATGCTAAGAGACGTGCTAACTTGAAAATGTGCACAGAACCCATTCCGACACACATTTTTGCTTCAGCACGGAAGATGCTAAGAGACGTGCTAACTTGAAAATGTGCACAGAACCCCATTCCGACACACATTTTTTGCTTCAGCACGGAAGATGCTAAGAGACGTGCTAACTTGAAAATGTGCACAGAACCCCATTCCGACACACATTTTTGCTTCAGCACGGAAGATGCTAAGAGACGTGCTAACTTGAAAATGTGCACAGAACCCCATTCCGACACACATTTTTGCTTCAGCACGGAAGATGCTAAGAGACGTGCTAACTTGAAAATGTGCACAGAACCCCATTCCGACACACATTTTTGCTTCAGCACGGAAGATGCTAAGAGACGTGCTAACTTGAAAATGTGCACAGAACCCCATTCCGACACACATTTTTGCTTCAGCACGGAAGATGCTAAGAGACGTGCTAACTTGAAAATGTGCACAGAACCCCATTCCGACACACATTTTTGCTTAAGCACGGAAGATGCTCCGACACACATTTTTGCTTCAGCACGAACCCCATTCCGACAGCTTCATGCTAAGAGACGTGCTAACTTGAAAATGTGCACAGAACCCCATTCCGACACACATTTTTGCTCAGCACGGAAGATGCTAAGAGACGTGCTAACTTGAAAATGTGCACAGAACCCCATTCCGACACACATTTTTGCTTCAGCACGGAAGATGCTAAGAGACGTGCTAACTTGAAAATGTGCACAAAACCCCATTCCGACACACATTTAAGCCCTGGTCGCGGGAAGTGAGGTGTTGTTCGTTGGGAAGTGAGGTCTGATGTCTGGGGTGTCGTGCGACGGAAAAGCGACACAAAGTTGCTTCATGATGCTCTTTTGTAGGCAGCCTGATGCCCATGATGCTCATCCCTGTGTTCAGGCTCGATCATGTGTATGCGAAGATCTGTGTGTATACGTATGTGTGTATGTGTGTATGTATGTATGTATGTATGTATGTATGTATGTATGTATGTATGGATGGATGGATGGATGGATGGATGGATGGATGGATGGATGTAATGTATGTATGTATGTATGTATGTACGTATGTACGTATGTACGTATGTACGTATGTACGTATGTATGTATGTATGTATGTGTGTCCTAAAGCCTAAAGCCCTAAACCCTAGAGCTGGAAGGACACAAAACGGCACAATTATCTGGATCACCTACAATCGATCACTAATCTCAACTTGCCGAGTGTCCTTTCAGCTCTACCTACCCCCCACACACACACACACGCACACATATGTATGTATGTATTTATGTATGTATGTATGTATGTATGTATGCATGCATGCATGCATGCATGCATGCATGTATGTATGTATGTATGTATGTAGGTATGTATGTATGTAAAGTAAGTATGTGAGTGTGTAAGAAAGTAAGCATGTATGTAAGTAAGTATGTATGTATGCAAACTAAGTAGTCATTGCCAGATCTTTGCAAAGGCAAACCTCGCAAAGCTAACACCTAACCTGAGCACTTTGCAAAAACCCTAAAGGCCCTAAACCTGGGATTGTAAAAACCTAAACCCTTCAGCCGTAGACCCCATATTTGATATGTCACAAACCCCAAATATCTAGGGGCGTCTGGTGGGCTGAACAGCCCCCGGCCCGACCGGAAACCTTAAGCCATCCTAAACCCTAAACCTGTATCTAGGGGCGTCTGGTGGGCTGAAAAGCCCCCGGCCCAGACCTTCCCTCAAAACCCCGTAAACCCAACCCGAACCCTCCGGCTTTGTAGCGAAGGGTTTGTACAGCTAGGTCGGGGTTTACAGGGTATAGTAGGGTTCAGGATTGTAAGGCGTTAAGCACCAAACTCCTAAACCCCAAGCTCCGAAAAGCCCGAGCTCCCCTCCGCCCTGCGGGCGTCTGCTGCGGCAGCCTTCCGGAGCAGGCTGGGCTGGTTAAGGTTTTGAAGTCGTGTGGTTGGGTTTGACGGCTTGACTTTGACTGGCTGCGAGGGTATTGAAATTGTCGGGGTGTAGGGCAAATAAACTGCATTGACATTACACATAGAGTGTTACGGGTTTTGGAGGTTCCACGCACAGCAAGGGTGCACCTGTTGGGACTTACCGGCCCGCAAGCTGAAGTGCTATCTCATCTCAATGGGCCCGACCCATGAATCTTAAAAATCCAGACCTGAATCAATCCCTAGACCCTACTCATTCAACTTCAAACCTCCTACACCACCCTACCCTATCCTCCCTTCAAAACCAAACCACCCTCGAAATAGCGCCTACACCCCCCCTAATCTTCCCCAAAACCCACCAAAACCAGCCCGAAACCACACTTTTAACCAACCCCCCCTTCGGTCAAAAGCCGCAGTTCCGCCTCAGAACCCCCCCAAGAGTCAAACGCAGCCCCCGAGCGCACAACAAAACCCGACCTTGAAACACCTCAACAGCTTCAAAACCCCCCAACATCTCACACCCCAAAACCATCAACCCTCCGAAACCCTTGAAAAACCTTGAAAACCCCCTAGCCCTAACATCCCACAATGGGCCCTGAACCTTCAAAATGGCCCCAAAGGCCACGAAGCCTTGAACCTGGCCGGCCTCGGATTTCTCAACGCCAAACTTTAATAATCACTGTATAAATGCCACAGGCCCAACGGCTCTCCAACGTGGTTCTTATGATTAAATACCCTTTGCATCTGGCCCCCCAAACCAACTCATGTGCTGGGTCGCCCTGCTGGGAAGACTGTAGCCACCTGGCAACAGGGAATGAATTCATCTGAGGAAACAAGCATGTGCCGGCTGCTTGCTGATTGAGAGCCCATGCTGTCAGTGTGCAATGCTTAGCTGATCTTTCTCAAGCCGCATCTGGCCCCTGTTGGACGCTCACACAGACGCACACGCAAACTAGGTGAGCTTGTAGCAACGGCCCCCTTGCAAGCGGCGGGGCTTGGTCAGCAGGAATCTCGGCTTCCCAGGGGTCAAGGAGTCACCTTGGGCTGCATTGTGAACCCATGTGAAATGCATATGAACCTTCATGTACTTCTTCTTGTGCTCACCATCGGTCCATGACATGTCCATGAAATCCACGAAGCTGCCGGCATTGGAGTGGTCTGCCTGCGTCCTACTGGGAATTTTCTTCGGCAGGTAAGCACAAGCCTCCTTCTCTTTGACATTCACAGCACCGCTCTCACCAATGGATATCTCGTGGCAGGGTGAGGTCACACTGCCAAATCCACAATCCGTGAGGTAGTCGATGAACTCCTTCAGGGTTGCAAGGCCTTTGGTGAAGGGGGGCTTCCAACTCTCCCCGTCAGGGTGGGAGAAGCACGCAACGGAAGCCCCATCTGCAAGCTTGTACGTCAGGATGTCCTTCTTTCCAGCAATCTCCTTGCCGGTGAGAAACTCGCCATGCAAGTCCATGAGGGGCACATCTGTGTTCAGAACCCCGTCGCTCTTGGCATGCAAGTACATTGCATTCTTGGCCGAGAAAACAAGCTCGAACAGCTCAGGCAGCTGGGATTGGATCACGGTCACATGGCCATCTGTCGCCTTGACTTTGTCCAAGCTCTCAAAGGAATCCTCGTCAGGAAACGGCTCCCCCTGAACTTCCTGCACGCTATCTGGCTCTGTGCGCTTGCCTGCCCCTTTGTAAGGAACTCCCGAAGGGTTGTGCTTCGCATTGTGCTTGCTCTTCAGTGCTTCGTATGCTTCCTTGAGTTTGCTGAATTTTCCATCGTACACATCCAAGACGTCTTGGCGGAATGACAAGTGCTTGCCTTCAACTGGAGCCGTAAGCACGTACTCACGTGTGTCGTAGGTGGGTGGGGAAAAGTCTTTCAGGACCAGGTTGGGCAGCTTTAGCACGTTCTCCTTGACGTACTTTTCCGTCTGATGGTCAGCAGCCCTTTTCAACCAGTCAGCCATTTTCGATCGCTGGCTGGCCTCATCTGCATACGCCCACACCCCACTGATGACGGCCTCGCGAGGCAGACGACCACTGGGCTCCAGTGCTCTCTGCAAGCATGCTTGAATGAGGCCATGGTCATATGGGAGCAGGTTGGCATAGACTGCCACAGTGAAAGGGCCAGGGGCAAGTCCTTTCCAAAGAGCCTCCTGCACCTTCAGCCAAAGGTCTGGGCCGGAGATGTGTTGCTTGTACTGCTGTGCTTTGCTGAGATTGATGGTGTTCAGCTGGATGGTCACTCCCTGCACTGGGTTCACAAAGTCAGCAACACCCTTGGCCTGGATTCCCATACAGGCACGGTGATGCCACAGCGAGCTATTGGCAAAGCGGCTGAGGAGCTTGCCATTTGCATCTGTAGCCTTGTTCACACACACCCACATGGGATGCACAAGGCTCCGCTTTGTTGAGCCGAACGTCTCTGGAGCGAAGCAAAGCTGAGCTCTCTTCACACTCATGTCATAGGTGTCCTGCCGCAACTGTTGCTCCACATCGTCCTGGGCCTTCTCCACATGCTCGTCCTCGTAGGTGTTGCCGAAGGAGGCAACGTTTGGCCCCACGACCACTGCTACACTCCTGCAGTTGCTGAGGGCTTCAGGGTTAACAACACAATGCATGTCAACAAAGCTGCATAAGCACTGCATTCTTTCAACGCTGTCCTCTCTGCTCCAGCAGCTAGGGCATCTCCCAGAATGCGGCAAACGCGGGCAAGGTAGCGTGAGCAAGAAGATCCGAGGGATGTCAAGTCAGCAGTATAAATGAAATGGATCTCCTCGTGGGACTTGTTCTCTGAATCCGCCCAGTCTGCGCTGCAACTTCGGATGTATGGCATGACAGCATCCTCCCCTGGCAGGGCCTTGCACGGGAATTTCTTCTGGGTGTAATTCGCAACGGCCTCCTCAGGGTAACGAACGAAAGTATTCCAAGTGCACATCATCTACCTCCGCTACTTTCTAATTGTAGCCCTTAGCCCAGTCCTTCAGCTTGGCATCCTGTTCACGACGGAAGCTGCTTTTGGCATCTTTTTGCCCGGCATTGAACTCCTGCAAGGACTGTTGGTACCTCTCCCACAGCTTGACCTCCCTCTCCAACTTCACAGAGAACAAGTTGAGGGCGGCCGTCTCTTGCTGCTCCTCTGCCAATGCCTCCTTGTCTTGAAGCTGCTCCGGCGCAACCGCCACACCGGTGTACACTTGCAAGAAGCGGAAGTTGTCCAAACAAAGGTCCCCATCCATGAGCCTGCATTTCTCTTGCAGCTCCCTGTCCAAGCAGCCTGTCAGGAACAGCCGCTCCAAGTTGATGAAATCCTTGTCCGTCACACGCTTCTTCACATCGTCACTGAAGTGGACCCAAAGGCAACTTGTCTGCCAGGCGAGGATCGGGTCCTGAACCCGAAGCTTGTTTGCCTGGATCTTGGTAGTTTTCTTTGCAGCCTGGCGCTGCACCTTGTTGTTCCGCAAGAACACACCGATGAGGTAGCGCAGTGTGGTGAAGGACTTGAGCGGAGATGGCTCCAGGATTTTGGACCAAATTCCACGAGCATCGGAAGGGACAGTTTGGGAAAAGGTGTCCATCCCAAAAAACTTCATGGTCACCCCAGACTCTGCTGTGCGAAAGTTGTTCCAATGTGTCTCCAGGGCCGTGAGGAATCCAGGGCTTTGAGCCGGCAAGCTGAGCAGCACCTGCTTTTCGAGGTCGGAAATCCGATGTCCTGCAACAGATGCAGTGGAATTGAATTCCTCGATGACGCGCTTCAGGCCCGCACCGATCTCAGTGACGCCTTGCTTGGCCAATGCGTCCATGAAAGTCCGGTAAAGCTGACAGACATCTGGGCGCATGGATTCAGACACCTGAAATTTGGCCCGCAGGGCAAGGAACCGCATCTCCACATCTGTCTGCGAACTTTCCCAAACACAGCTTACAATAGAGATGCTGCTGAGCACGTCACTGATGGCAAGCATCTCGCCATCATCAAGCTTCAACTCCACGACTGCCTGCCATATAACCTTCATCGCCAAGCTACGAGCGAGTCCCACGACATGAACAACCGATACTTAGGCGGCCGCTGTGCTTATAGCATATATAACATGAACTTATAAATGTGCTATCAGGGATTATAACATACCTAAGGTTATGTTATACATGAGGTATTTGAGTATATTCCCGTTATAAGTCATGCAAAAGTTATATATTGGATGTAACCATTTGGGTGCGTTATAACTGCACTTATGGGGTCCTCGTAGATCGCGATTATAAGTACCACGTGGCAGTTATAACTGGGCTGCGAGGCACCCCCCAAATACCGATGTAGACGGACCGAAAACCCGCCGTGCATCCATTTTTGCTGCCCCCGGAGAACCGACGTAGATCACCCGAAAACCGCCCGTTGCTTTTCCCGAAATCAGAAAGCAACACTCCGCGGATCCAATTTTTGCTTCCGAATCAGAAAACAACCCTGCATGTTTCCGCCGAAATCAACCGACCACGCATGTTTTGGAACATGCAGGCAACACCACGACGTACACGATTCTTCAACGATATAGGAAGCCCCCGCCCCGAAAACCGCACTTTTTTTCAAGTTCATTTTTTGGCCATCGCCGGGAACTCGCTTTTCATCTCCGGAAATCATGTTTACATCCAAGCCAATATATCATTTGTTTTCCGCCTCAATATCATTCTTATCATTTATCCGGTTCATGTTTTGTGCAGTCGCATGCCCGCAGGGCCGTCGCTCCGGACGAACCGCGACATATGTGGCTCCACTGCGAGGCTCGCCCGCAGAAGAAGCAGCCATTTTGGCTGCAAGAAGGGCAGCAAACAAACACTGCAGCACGCACACTCTCAGCCACACAGAGGCAGCAGCACTCTCAGCCACACAGCAACCAAACACCCACACTCTCAGCCACACAGAGGCAGCACACTCTCAGCCACACAGCAAGCAAGCACCCAAGACTTTCAGGCACGCAGCCACGCAGACAGCCACGCACAGTCAGCAAGCGAAGTGCAGTTTTCCGAGGCTTCGCCCGTTTTTGACTTCGAGGCTTTGCCCGAAGGAGTGCAGAGGCGTGGCCCGCCTTCCATGGCTCGGCCGGACCGTCCAGGAGTCCTGGGCCACCTAGGTCCCTTCCCTGTGGAGGCAGGGACGCTGACCTCCCAAGACCGGGAGGAGATCCGCCAGGAGACTGGGTGCACGGTGGGAGTGCGCGGGCGGAGTCAGTGGGGCTCGAGGTGCCTCACGGTCTGCGGACCGCCTTCAAGGCTGATGGCGGCGAAGGAGATGGCGGAGGAGAGGATCGCCAACTCCGTGGAAGACGCGCGGGCGCCGAAGCCAAAGGGCCCTGCGCATGGTCCCCCTTTTGGACCACTCTCAAAGGCGGCCAACAAGGGCAAAGGCAAGGGCCCAGCCAAAGGCGCCTTTGAAGGACCGCCGGCGCCTAGAACGCCGCCAGCGCCAAGGCCGCAGCCAATGGCTGCCCCGGCACCCATGCCGGGGCAGAGTAACGGGGAACTTGCGATGCAGCTCCAGATCGCACTCAGCAGGATCTCGACGCTGGAGACGAGTGTGCTGCAACTTCAGACGTTGCAGAACTATGGAGGGCACCAAAGTGCCCTTCATGAGAGCCGCTTGCGCAAGGTCGAGGCCGACCTGTACTGGCAGGAGCGAAGGCCGCCACGCACACGCAGCCGCTCGCCTCCCGCAGCTGCCAGCAGCAGCGGCCAGCCAGCGCCAGCACGCTCACGCTCCCAGAGTGCTGGCAGTGGCAGCTCCAGCAGCCAGCAGGAGTCACCGGCCTCCAAGGACCGTTGTTTTACCCTTATAAGACCCCTATATATATATACACATTCTATAAACCCATACATATATATATATATATATATATTTGAGAAGGCTCGCCTCTCAAAGTAAAGATATAAATATGTATATAAATTCAAATGTAAATTTGAAGGCTCGCCTCTCAAAGTGTGTATTGTGCACGCAGGACGATGCCGGGGCAAGCAAGATCGCCCAGAAGGAGGACCGGCAGCCGAAGGCGGAGGAGGAAAGCTCGTCTTCTTCGCCAGCCCAGGAGCCGGAGCCTGTGCCGGCTGCAGAAGCAGCAGCTGCAGAAGCACCAGCTGCAGAAGCGGCAGCTGCAGAAGCAGCAGCTACAGAAGCGCCAGCTGCAGAAACGCCAGCTGCAGAAGCGCCAGCTGCAGAAGCGCCAGCTGCAGAAGCGCAGGAGCCTCCGGTGCCCAAGACTGAGCCCAAAGAGGAGGCGGCTGAGGCATCGCCCGGCCCTGACTTTCAGGCCTCCGCAGAGGAGGAGCTGGTGGCGCCTGTTCGGGAGACGGCAAGCCCGACCTCGGAAGCAGAGGGCGAGCAGGAAGAGGTGGCGGTGCTGGACACCTTGAACCTGACTTCCAAAGCATCGGCTCCGCCGCCGCATCCTGAAAAGGGCTTTCCGTATCCCTTCACGCAGTGACAGCTCCTTGAAGTTTAGCCCTAAAGCCTTAAAAGAAACAGCTACAAGCTCTAAAAGGCCGTGAAGGGTTTCGGGAATTGACGAGGCTTGCCCGTCCTTGCACGACTCGAAGTCTTTTGCAGAAGAGAAAAGGCAAGCCAGATCCTCGAAAGGTTTGAAAGATGCAGGCCTGCACATTTCCTGGACCACTTCTGTTTGCTCGAATAAAACCCACGATTCGAAACTTGAGAGTTTGTTCGCCATCTCAAGCTTCTCCAGCGACCAGTATACAGGTATAGCTAAACAGACTGACTCCTCAAGCAGCTGAAGCAGGTTGGCCCCTCCGTAAACCCTATAAACCCTAAACCATAAACTCTAAACCCTAGACCCTAAACCCTATGCTTGAAAAGAAGATTCCAAATATATGTGATAAGTAAAAAAGAAAAAGCTGGCAAGGCTTGCCTGCCAGCAGAATCTCGAGGCATGCCCCAAGCTGTCAAGGCGTGCCTGACAAAGCCATGGGGCTGCCATGACTTTGCAGCCGCTCAAGCGAGCCAGGGCTGCTTCAGCAGGGACGCTGGCCGACACTGTTTCCTTCTCGGTTTTGGCACGGAGGGAACATGATGAAGGCCAGCTGCGAACTGAGCGCCGCCGTATAACGGATGAAGTGCTGCAGTTTCTGGACAGCCCTGCTTGCCCCTGCGGTGAGCTGCTGCAGCATCTCCAGCTCACCCTGGTCGGCGGCAAGAAGGAGGAAAAGTATGGGTTTCACTGGCACTTCGTGCAGCCCATGGCCCTCCTCTTCTTGCTGACAGAAAGGGTGCCCAGCTTCGGGGACATGTTGCAGCGGATCATGGATGAGAAAGGCCGTTTGAGGATAGGCCTTTATTCCGACGAGACCAAGCCTGGCAACCCGCTTCGACCGGACCATGGGAGGGCCCAGGTGTGTTTTTACTTCACCTGTCTGGATTTGCCCGACTGGGTGAGGTGCCAGACAGGTGCCTGGTTCCACTTCAGCGCCTTTCCGTGCAAGCTGCTCTCCGATGTCCCTGGAGGCCTTAGCCATCTTTTCTGTAAGACAATGGATGTATTCTTTGGTGAGCACTTTCGGTGGAACTTCAAGACTGGGTTTCCGTTGAAGTGCAGCAAAGGTACCTTCCTGGCCCAGGGATCTTTCGAGTGTTTTGTCGGGGACGAGAAGGCCATCCGGGAAACCTTCAGCTTGCGTGGAGCAACGGGCACAAAGCCCTGCTGCCACTGCATGAACGTGCTGGGTCACATGGACAAGCACAGTGTGACGGTACCGGGCCTTGTGCACTATAGCTGCGACGACCCCGGCAAGTTCGTGTTACACAGCAGCCAGACCTTTCGAACAATGTGTCAGAAGCTGGAAATTGCGCCCAAGAAGGATCAAAAGAAGCTGGGCCAGCTTTTCGGCCTCACCATGCATCCAAATGCCGTGCTGTTTTGTGCGCCGTGGAAGGACAGCGTGGACTGCGTTCAGCATGTGTATTGGGACTGGATGCACATTCTTTGTGCCAGCAGTGGCATGGGCCAATACGAGGTCAACGAGTTTCTCAAAATTCTCGTTGACCGGGGCGTGTCTTTGGACATGCTTGATGAGTATGCCCAACAATGGCGGCTTCCGCAAAGGACCAGCAACCTTTGCAAGGGTTTTTTTGCGGAGAGGCTGAACAAGGAGCCGGACAGCTGCTTGAAATGCTTCGCAGGCGAGCTCCTGACGGCTATTCTTATTCTGGATGCTCTACGGCAGGATGTCTTGAGGCATGTTCCCGAGACTGCGGAGCACTGCAGATGCCTGGCACTGCTGGCCAAGATTTTCCGTATTCTTGGCAGCGGAGACAGGGCGGTGCAGCAGTTGCAGGAGCTGCGCAGATGCATTGCAGAGCATGCCCGCCTCTTCCGCCGGCTTTATGAGAACTGCGTGAAGCCCAAGTTTCACTGGGCTTTCCATGTCCCCGGCTGCATGGAAAAGTTTGG